ATGCACACGAGTGACAGGTTAAACATACACCAAAACCAATAACGCGTGCTTTGGCTATGCCTAATGACCCTCCTCACTCTGGAACACCTACATTATTAGATGTGGGCATGTTGCTTCATTTATATTAGCTATTTTGGTATAAGGCGACGACGTTGGTAATACTTCATTCGGCGGTACGTAAAATCGGCTACTGAAACAAACGCAGTAGATATGTGTGTGTAGCTAAGCTAGCTGTGAGTGGACATTCACGTTCAATGAATCACTCCGTCGATGCCTCGGTGAATAACACAGCAGGCCAAGTGTGCGACTGGCGACACTGCAGATCGATGCAAGTGCATGAAAGAGGACAACAAAAGTGAGCCAGCTACGCACAATCAGTGGACGGCAGAGGGAAATTGCGTCGCATGCTTTTGATTTTCAATCAAAATGCAGTGTGAATTTTGGCATCTTCAAATTGACTTATTGCCTGTTACTCAATGAAATCATTATTTTGAGCCTGTCACGGCTGCTTCATCTAGTCCAGTAGGCTTATAGGAGCATTATTCGTGCATCTGCTTCAACATACTCTGCATTGGTCTGTGGTGGCGGGTTGTCCACAACTCGGGCCGAAATTCTTGCATCTTTACTCAGCTCCACTCCCAAATCACTGTTGCTTCGAATTAGCATGGTCAACGTTGATGAAGTAAAAGCGATCCATTTCCAACGATCTCCTTCTTTTAACCGATAGGTAGACAGAGCTACTGTGGCTTCGCTGTTATACCTGAATGCAATATGGATTCGTGTCTCGCCCCACCAACAAGAAGTGAAAATTTGGCCGACGCCGTTGGAGGAATGTTCACTGAAATCCCGTCGATGGGAGAGGCATTTCTTGGTTCAAAGAATTTTGTATCTGCTGGAAATGTCAACATTCTCCAGTACATTTTAACTTGCTATGCTATCTGTGACGTCTTTTCACTTGATCACAGCTCAAAACTCACATCCCATCGTTGTTAGCAATAGCACAACTCAGTTCACTCAGTGCTGATCATTCGACTCATCAGACCATGATCGGCCAGACATGTATAAGTAGGTGCATGTGAACGCACATTCGACTTCCGCTTTGACATCAACTTGTGCCTGGACGTGTGTTATCGTGCAAGAGTCTTGTCCTGTTTTGCGAAGCTTTTGGCTCATGATTATTGATGAAGTAATGAGACGACTTCTCGAGCTGTTGTTGGAGATGCTAACAGATCCCCGACGTGCTCAGGCCAAGTTGAGCAATCCTGTCATTGCGGTGTCCATTGATGACCCATCCAACAGTTTCTTCGGATCGTTGAAATGGTGAATGCCGGTGTGCTACCTACTCAAAACGGCGAAGCAGATTGAAGGGAACGTCGTCGTAGACCCGTCACCGTCACTGGAGGGTCTTTCTCGATGCTGAGCGGTGCCCGAGGAATATTTTTTAATCTGGTCTGCATTTCAGGCATCACACTTGTGATGCCGTGAAAAATCTGGATGCAGTTGTTGAGGCTACTTGCTACTGTGTTAGTGTGTAAAAGAAACACCACCGAGATCGAAATTACACAATTACTTGTCATCCGTGCATTGCTGTGTAAGTCGGCGCACCTCCATGATTGATTCTGCCCGCAAGTTCTGTTGAATTTGACGTATATAGTGGCACCTATCCACTCCCAGATCACCATTGCCCAACAGGAGCGTCTGATGGCGAACTTAAACATTTGGCGGTAATCAAGCGAGAGTGCTAGAGACGCCATTTCGAATCGTCGATAGAAGACTAGAATGTGGTTCCTGCTGCTGCTACCTCTTCTCGAGCAGAACCCTTCTTGACAGGGAGCGGCACCAATGATTCAAAATTCTGCTCTAATCCATGACGGCGATATGTATTGCACGCCCATTGAAGTCAACTAGTTCAAACTTACATCGCAACCAACAAATGACATCTCTACGTCATATGCCTGTCATTTGCTCTGAATTGTGTGCTCGCCGACGTCTTTCTTGCGAGTTCCTTCTATGCGTCTCCTCAGCCGAATGCCTGCAAATGATTTCGCAGTTATAGAGTGTTTGTCGAGTGACACCACTCTTCATTTATCGAGTGCACCTTGTCATGGAAACATGCAAATGACCGATTCTGATGCCTCGAATGTTGCTAAAACTCGTGCACTTGAGCAAACAGGCAAATTTCAGGTCCCTCGACTAACCAAGTACCGCAAATCCAGGCGTAGGTAAATTGGAGTATAACTCGCAGGCGAAGGAGGGTGGATGTTTGTGTGACGAGGGTCAAACTGTGAATAAGCACTTGTGCGCTTCGTGCATTCTGCTGCTAGCGTGCACCTCACTGGTCAGCACGTGTTCGCAAGTGCTTGCGTGAGCCACATTCTCTGGCACGTGAATGGTTCACGTCCCAACCAATGAGCGCCACGCTACACCGAGGCACATAAGAGTCGCTGTGTAGGCACCACGCGTCACAAGTACGCGACTTCGATATGTCTCCTCAGCAGGCTCGTGGATTAAGCAGTCACGGACACAGGTCAACAGTGCCTCTAGAACAACGACAAGCAATGACGAGGGTATGTACCACCTACTATGGCAAATATTTATCAATGTTTGATCATTCAACACAAGTCGATGGTCAAAAAACAGCACCTCGAAAGACGCCGGCGAGCACACATTTCAGAGAAGATGACAGAGTTACATGACATAGCGATGTCATAGGTTGGTGGCGACGTAAGTTTGATTTGGTCGATTTTTTAAAGGGATTGCAGTACACGGTGTCCTAATTTCGACTTTATCATTTACAGCCACGGAATCACAGTCGGTTAGACAAGCACACTCTTCTCAACAACTGCATAGAGGTACTTCAGACTGTGTTCTACGTGATGCGTGAAATGCCTGAAGTACAGGCCAGACTAAAAAGAGTGTTTGGACTTCGATTAAGCTCGAGAATGGCCCCCTCAGTTGACAAAGACAAGGAAGATATGCCTTTACCAACGCCAATCCAACCATCAACCGCGCTTACTGAAAAGACTCAGAAAATCGCAAATGAGACCCCCCACAGTGGATACCACGGCAGTTTCGCCAGCTGCCTCAAACATCAAAACTCCAATCAGCCAAACTTCAGTGCCGACACCGACGTCATCTGCACCCCAATTCGTCAGCTTCATGAGGCAGCACACCATCACCCACCACTTAATCAATCCCAAGATCATATGAATAAGAGATGTGTTATTAAAATGAACCACTTCATTTTCCGAACAAACATGGTGACATTTGGTTTCGTGAGCAGTTGACTTGCGAGTCGGTGAGCTGTGCCTTCACACACGATTAAACTAGTGGTTGTGGACAGACAACCTGTGTACTGTAGAGAGTGCTGCAACTTTGGATGGGTTTACGAAATCCACATCTGCAACTCGAAAACATCATCCTGACTTCGAGGGAATGAGATCTAAGATCAGGGCCACACATGCATTGTCTCCTCACGAGTCTGTGAATATGTCTTCTCTTGAATACACAACCTCGTATGTGGTAAGTATATCAGTTCAGCGGTAAGATATCTGTCGATTTCCACGATCAGGACACTGTCCGGGTGGCAAAGCGTCTGGCCCATGCAAACAGCGCTGAATAGTGTGTGGTTTCAAATGGCGAATATTACTCAAGTAGACTGTCTTGCAATC